TGTACAGTCTTTTATACCACCATACAACACGTCTTAACCTCAACAGTCTTATATACCACCATACACAACACGTCTTAACCATCAACCGCCTTTATCCACCATACACAACACGTCTTAACCCTGTACAATCTTTTATACCACAAACAAGACGTTCTATAATATTCTGCACTTTTCTGTACCATCATGCACAAACTGTTTATAATATATTGAATTGATAGGTCTTTAATCATTACAGAAACTGTTATATAAATGATAGAAAGAATCACCACAAAAATTTTTATTTAAATTATAGAAAAACTCGTTAAAGAAATTGCCATTATAAAAGATAAAAGGAGTCATTTAAAAAAAAGTAATTATAAATTACAGTAGAATTTTCCATTCATTATAGAAATTAGCAAAAAGTTTCAGTGAAAAGAAACGCTAATCATCAATATGAACGACAACACTTATAAAGACTATTTTTCTGTCACTCAGAATATTCAAGCTTTATTACTCACAAGCGTCCTCTACTGACAGACACCAGAAGTTATCGATGTTGGAAGAATTCCTGACAGTCTATTTTAAACTACTTCTAGGTGCCGCAGTAACCATCCCTGCAGATAAGGCCCAGCCTCCGCTCGCTCATGTAGTTAGTAAAGGGTAGGCTTACCACACCGACCGGTTTCATTAGTCCTAGGCTACGTTGACAGCACTGTTCTCAGTGCGAGGCTTGACCATATCTTATTTTTGGTCACTCACCGTCCCTCAACGAATGGTTATTTGATGTTAAACATCTTATTTTTTTTTGTTAAGAAGGACAAACGAACGACGACTTTTCGATAGCAGCTGACAATATCAGCCCCAACTCCTTACGTCACGCAGACATCTACCAGAAACGGATCAGACGTCTTCCAATAATTACTTATCCAGATTCGATACAAACTAGATGAGCGACTCGTGAGAAGAACGATTTATATGTGTGTGTGTGTGTGTGAAATCTACATTTTTATCACATAAAAACCCCACCCCCCCGGAATCATATTAGTTCACCGGGGAGTTTTTGTAGGCCATAGGGCAGTCGAAGCAGCTGTTTCAAGAAGCTTGGAAAACAATCTTTCCATTGTAACACAGCAGTATTCCAGAGAAGCCAGGTGTTGCTGCAACATAGTCAGCTCGAGCTTTAGGAATACAACTTCCCATCCTGCGTGTTGGCGTGGAGTCCACAGAAGCTATTACTATTACCTGTTGTCCATCCCGCGAGTTGACGTAGAGTCCACAGAAGTTATTACTATTAACTGTTTTCCATCCCGCGAGTTGACGTAGAGTCCACAGAAGCTATTAGCTGTTGTCCATCCCGCGAGTTGACGTGAAGTCCACAGAAGTTATTACTATTAACTGTTTTCCATCCCGCGAGTTGACGTAGAGTCCACAGAAGCTATTAGCTGTTGTCCATCCCGCGAGTTGACGTGGAGTCCACAGAAGCTATTACCTGTTGTCCATCCCGCGAGTTGACGTAGAGTCCACAGAAGTTATTACTATTAACTGTTTTCCATCCCGCGAGTTGACGTGGAGTCCACAGAAGTTACCAGCTGTTGTTCGTTTCTGTAAAGAGTAGGATCGAACTTTATTTTTTGAATTAAAGCTCTTTATGTCGATCTTCCCTGCTAGTGATAAAATGTTACATTCTGAAAAATTCTTCTGCCTTTGTTGAGGGCCGTTACTCATGGCAGCCATGTTAGTCTGTCAAGCTTCCACCATCGAGAGTGAGGAAGGAGATACAGTTAACTGTAAACACTGTCAGGCCCAGGGTAAGCAAGCTTGTGTACAGACATTTTAGCTAACCAGTAAGTATTATAGACCTAACTAGTGAGTATTATAAACCTAACTAGTGAGTGTTATAAGCCTAACTAGTGAGTATTATAGACCTAACTAGTGAGTATTATAAACCTAACTAGTGAGTATTATAGACCTAACTAGTGAGTATTATAAACCTAACTAGTAAGTACTGTAGACCTAACTAGTAAGTATTATAGACCTAACTAGTGAGTGTTATAAGCCTAACTAGTAAGTACTGTAGACCTAACTAGTAAGTACTGTAGACCTAACTAGTAAGTACTGTAGACCTAACTAGTGAGTATTATAGACCTAACTAGTGAGTATTATAAACCTAACTAGTAAGTACTGTAGACCTAACTAGTAAGTACTGTAGACCTAACTAGTGAGTGTTATAAGCCTAACTAGTGAGTATTATAGACCTAACTAGTGAGTATTATAAACCTAACTAGTAAGTATTATAAACCTAACTAGTAAGTATTATAAACCTAACTAATGAGTGTTATAAGCCTAACTAGTGAGTATTATAGACCTAACTAGTGAGTATTATAAACCTAACTAGTAAGTACTGTAGACCTAACTAGTAAGTATTATAGACCTAACTAGTGCGTATTATAAACCTAACTAGTGCGTATTATAAACCTAACTGGTGGTTATTATAAACCTAACTAGTGATTATTATAAATCTAACTAGTAAGTACTGTAGACCTAACTAGTAAGTGTTATAAACCTAACTAGTAAGTACTGTAAACCTAACTAGTAAGTGTTATAAACCTAACTAGTAAGTGTTATAAACCTAACTAGTAAGTATTATAGACCTAAGTAGTATGTATGTGTACGTGTCCTTACAGCCATTACACATGTATCAGTACGTGTCCTTACAGTCACTACACGTCTATCAATACGTGTCCTTACAACCACTACACATGTATCACGTCTATCAGTACGTGTCCTTACAGCCACTACACATGTATCACGTCTATCAGTACGTGAGCCATGAAGTGTCGCTAGTCTGTCCTTACAACTACTACACATGTATCACGTCTTTCTGTACATGAGCCATGAAGTGTCGCTAGTCTGTCCTTACAACCACTACACATGTATCACGTCTTTCTGTACATGAGCCATGAAGTGTCGCTAGTCTGTCCTTACAGCCACTACACATGTATCACGTCTTTCTGTACATGAGCCATGAACTGTCGCTAGTCTGTCCTTACAGCCACTACACATGTATCACGTCTTTCTGTACATGAGCCATAAAGTGTCGCTAGTCTGTCCTTACAACCACTACACATGTATCACGTCTTTCTGTACATGAGCCATGAAGTGTCGCTAGTCTGTCCTTACAACCACTACACATGTATCACGTCTTTCTGTACATGAGCCATGAAGTGTCGCTAGTCTGTCCTTACAGCCATGAAGTGTCGCTAGTCTGTCCTTATATTGAAGGAAATATTTCATTCAGAAACCAGGTCTATACATAAGTCTGAATTATATCACCTTTTTATCAACCTTGAGATTTGTTTCTAACTGTACATTTTACGAACCCATAACGAGAGAACCCATGAACGGTAGACAGATAAGGAGAGCACCTATGAAAGGTAGAGATATAACGAGAGAACCCATGAACTGTAGATAGATAACGAGAGAACCCATGAACGGTAGACAGATAACGAGAGAAGCCATGAACGGTAGACAGATAA